GTACGAGGTATCATAACATTAGGTTGATTAAATAGTGAGTAATATGGACTGTTGTTAACACCATTGTAATAATTACGTTGTTGATCATCTCTTACATTAAAATGCTTAAAATCATAGAAACATACAGGTAATTAATATTATTTATTTACTTTAAATCTTAATACTTACATTTAAATTACTTGGCAATGGTGAATTATGAGCTACTTGAGGAGCATTAACATTTGACCAAGTGCTATTTGGAGCTTGGTTGCGCATAAATGGAAACATTGGATGATTCTGTTGATTGCTAAAAAATGATAGTTGAATAAAACTATTAGTTGTATGAGTACTATATTAATTATTAATTAAAAAGTTTGAGAAAAGTATTCAATCAATATTCTACAAATAAAATTAATGTATTTAGGAAAATTAGTTTTCTTAACAATGAGTTCTTACTTTTGAGGTTGTTTAATGCTATCAATCCAATTAGCTGGTGGTTGTGGCCAAGTGGAGAAGTTTGGTAATGGTTGACCAAACCTGAATTGRCTTTCAGAAGATGATGGAAAACCACTCATATGCAGTTGACCAAATGTATTCATAATTGGATTAATATTAGGCTGAGATGAGTTCAAGTTGTTGAAAGGATGTGGCAATTGATACCCAATAGGAGTTGGTTTTGCGGCATTTTGATCTTTTTCGAATTCCGAAGAAGTCTGATCAAGATCTTCCAATGACCATTTAGCTTCACTGCTAGATGATGAACTTGGAGATGGAGATCGAAATTTTACCTACACATTATTTAATTGACAAAACAATTATTTATAATCTAAAATATATATTTCCTTATACTATGCAGTAAGATATTTACTTGTTTGGCTTCAGTATCTTGATTTTTTTTTAACATTGAATCAAAGTCAATATTACGCAAGACTGGTTTTATATCTGAATTACTAGAGGATTGAGGTTTCAAAATACCACTTCTTCTTTCACCTAAAAATAAAATATTAAGTATAAGTAAATAATCGTTGTTTATTTAATTATTTAATATAACTTATTTATAGGAAATGACAATTTGAATAACATACTTGAAATAAGCAACTGCCGTTGTTGATATGATGATAATGTTTCAAGATCAGCAGCAAGATCAATTGAATGAGAGTTGGCCGAACTATTTGGTATTATTTCAAARTTCCATCCTTTATCTTTTTTTCTAACAAAAACATACTGAATTAGCTAATTAATTATATACAAATTAAAAATAATCAAATATTCTTACATTGCTTTAATTAATGAATAAGGAGTAGATGAAAACCATAAACCAAAATCAATTAAACGACTAGCTCGCAGAGCATTTATGTTTATTTTTGTAGTATCATCGGGATTTAATCTAGAATAGAATAATAMYATATACTTATACAATTAATGTTTAAAAATTACTATGATTTGACTTACATGAGTTTAGAATGTACTGATTCTAACATAACAAAGCCTTGAAGTAATCTATCTTCTGGTAAAGGAATATGAGAATCTAATAATAATGAAACAYTTTTTAAAATACATTGTTACAATATAATGTGATTTATTATATTAAATAAAAACTGGGTAAGTAGGTAACTGATCTGCTGTATAGTAGGTGTTGGTGTTGTGTATTTTTATTGAGTAAGTCACTGTAATGGATGTGTTAAATAAGAATTCAATGAAAAATTATTGCATACAAAAAATAATTCTGAGAGGAGACAGTTGTCAGTCTATATTACTTGATATATTTTATAATATATTTATATTGATATTATAGCAATACATTTAAATGAACAATAATAAGAAAAGTCRTTTAAATTAACTATTTATTACAATAGTTTTTAACTTACAATCGTCATTGTTTAGATCATTTGATAGTCCGTTTAATAGTTTACAAAGTCCAGGCCAGATTTGTAAGCGACTTTTGAAACCAGGAGAATTTAGAACACTTATATCACTTCTTATCCAATCCAGAATTAGTTTGACTAGAAAATAAATTATTATGCATTTTTAAGTAACAATGTGTGATATTGATGGTTTTAAAAAATTAACTAAGTTTTTCATTGAATGAATTTAGTATTTTTTTTATTTTATTACCTGCAGGTAATGTATAGTATTCTGAGATATTTTGACTTTCTTTCATTGTATATAGTGGAAGTAAAAAAGCATTGAGGAAAGTGGCAAGTAAATCAACAACAGGAAAACACTGCATCTTAATTGTCGTAGATTCATTTCCAATATAGTTAAATGCCAACATATTAATAGCCACCATCTAAGAATAATTTAATATATATGATATAAAAATATTAATAACAATAACAATAATAATATTAACCTGTTGTAATTTAAATGATGAAAATGATTCAGTAGCAATAWGTGGTGTAAATGATAAGGAAAGACTTTTTATGTATCCATCACAAACTTGACGTTTCATTACATCTTTTGACATCAACACTCCATGGAATGCGAGAAATAGTTGGATGAATTCAGTACTAGTGATTTTTGTTTTATACAGCATGTCTTGACTAAAAAAACAATATAATATTGATATTAATATATTAAATAATTAAATTATGAGTTGATAAGTAGAATTTAAAACAATTTTTTTTTTTTTAATTTTAATATATTTACCTAGAGCTAATATATTTATTTAACGTAAAATTTAGATTATTGACAGCAGCTAGAAATGGGTGTCTAACATTAATGCTTCTCATGTAATAAAATACAGTGCTCAAACTATCTCCTCGTGAAGCTTCCAATAGAGCCAATTGGTTGTAAGGTTGTCCACTATTAGGGCTCAATTGAATGGCATGTCTGTATAAAAGTAAATTATTTGAATTAAAWTAATATACATTTTYTAAGCTAAATACACATCAAACTTATTTGAATGTCAATTTATTATTGATTAAGTTTAATATTTTTATCCTAATTAATCTTATTCAAAAAAATATATTATTTTAGTGGCATGTCATGCATTATTAAGTATATTTTATGATTATCTTATACTGTGCCACTAAGTTAAGTTTCCTATAAAAAACAAGATTTATAATTTAGTTT